CAAAAATCTCTCCAAAAAAAAAAAAAAAAAGACATTCATATTACTTACCTGTATTTTTCATGGGGTTCTCTTTTTCTTTCTCTCCTTCTCTTCCTAATGGAGAAATCAAACACAAATATTAACACAATTATTTAAATCCATCTAGCTTCAGGATTTTTGTTTGAATGTGAGTGTTCTAGTGTTCTGGAACTCTTTTCAGTTAAACCATGAAGCCTATTTCAGGGTTCTGTGGGATCCAATATGCTAGCTTCCCCCTCTGGCTTTCCCCATGACCTCTTCTCTGCAATACTTTTCTTACTGGAAGTAAATTGAGTACATTACCAAATAAGGGAAGAAAGAAACACCTTGACTGAGTCAGGGAAGCGACCTTTCACTGATTACAAGAAGGTATGAGTTAGTGTGAAACGCTGACTGCCAGTGAGGATGGAGCCTCAGATGTCAACAAAGCAGCTGATTCCAGTTTCCCTGAGCACCCTCAGAAAACAGGAAGCAAGACCTGCCTGGATGTGCTAGGGTCTCCTTGTGGTCTTCTTTGCCTCCACCCACCTTCCCCTTTCTCTTGACCTTCGCCTTAGAAGATGACACACTTGGTAATCATGATCTAACTTTGAAATTCTGTGACTCACGATCTTTCCTAATTGCAAGCACAGAAATTATCTGCTGATTGGCAGAAGATCTGCTATTTGCTGAACCTGTCAGCATGTGTCATGTCCTCTAACACCTTTGCTCCAAGAAAGTCACCTCTCTCTGCCTGTCTGCTGCGGTTTTCCTCCAGGAATTAGAAGAGAGGAAAAGACTGAAAACGATTTCTCCGGACATCAGTGAATTTGATTCTCTTACACAACTTTTTCTGAGGACTTCCTTAACATGCCAAAGGCTTAGAACGATCTTGCAGATGACTTGGGCTATTTTTCACTTAAGGGAGATCTGTTTTATAGATATAAATGTAAGGGCTGATAAAGTCAAGAGAAATATACAGTTCTGTTTGTCTTTTGGCAAACAGATCATCTTTCTTTAGCTTGGAGTCTTTGATAAATGACCCCTTTAACCCCCACAGAGGAGAGTCAGGCAGGTGCTAGGGACCGGTGTGGGTGCGTTCACTGGACAAGCCCCGAGAGCTCTGTCACCTTCCCATTTATCTGGGGCTACATAGCAGCTGACCAGCATCTCAAAACCAAGCACATTTGGGTGGGTCAAACCTGTCTGAACATTGCAGTCCCTGCAGCTGCTGCTTGTCCCTTCCTAAAGAGAACTTTCCCTGCAGTACCCAATTCAAGCAAAGGAGAACTCGAGAGGAACACCCATTCACATTCATGCTTACTTCCCTCACTATATCGAGGTTGTTCGTCATCTGTCCTGACTATATTAGTTTCTTAGGGTTGCAACACATTACCACATTGGTATAAAACAACAGAAGTGTATTCTCTTATCGTTTGGGATACCAGAAACCCAGAATCAGTGAGGCAGCAAGGGCCTTCCTCCCTTTGAGAACTCTAGAGAAGGATCCGTCCTTGCCTCTGACAGCTTCTGGTAGCTCCTGCGTTCCTTAGCTGTGACAGTGACTCCGGAATCTGTTTCCATCTCATAGGCCTTCTTTCTTGTGTCTCAGGGTCTTTTTTCTGTCTTTAATGAGGACATTGGGTGAGGGCCCACCCTAGTACAGGATGGTCCCACCTCAGTGCCTGCCTTCGGAACACCTGTGAAGATTCTTATTCCAAACGAGGTCTCATTCTCAGGTTCTGAATAAACATATCTTTGGGGGACCACAATTCAACACACTATACCAGCCAACTTTCATGTTCATCGAATTCCCCCAAAATCTAATTTGGGGGCACAATATAAGATAACTAGCTAGATGATGACAGAGAAAATTGTACT